GCGTCAGCGTGAAGCACCCGAGAGAGGGGTGGAGGGTGAAGCCGTCGACGCCCCTCCCGACGGAGAGCACGAGCTGCGTGGCGGCGCCGAACACAACGTACCCCGCAGCGAGCATCTCCTCGCCCCTCCGGAGCACGGAGGCGCGCGTCCCGCCCTCCTCGCCGCCCGCGCGCGCCGAGTAGACACTGAAGATGGTCCCCGACGACGCGCCCGCGTCCGCCTTCTCCGCGTCGCCCCCGAGCGGGTCCACCACGACCGCAAAGCGCCTCACGCACGGGCTTGTCGCAGGGGACGTTGGTGCACAGTAGTAGTCGTACGGGTCTGCTGACACTGCCGGAGCCGGTGCAGGCGGCGCTGCATCCAACCCAATCCCGTTGCCGCTGCTATCGCCCTCGAGCTCGACGACGCCCTCGTGCGTCCCAAGCGCGACTACTCGCGTGCGAGTGCCACGCAAAGCTGCGAGAATGATCTCGGCGACCTTTTGATCGAGCTTGAGGACCTCCCGCTGCCACACGCCACTCCCGTGTTTGGCGTCACCACCCGTCCTGAGGCCGTGCCGCAGCAGCAGAGACACCTCGCGAAAGCTGCACTCCAGTGCCTCCAGGACCGCGACCAGCTCTGGCGACGCGCCGGACACATCGCGAAGATGTCTGTCCAGCGTGACCAGCATGGGCGGCGGTAAGGTGGAGTTCCTCCTTCCGCGCTCGCGGATGGGCGTGGACGTCGGCAGCGCAAAGCCGACAGACGGAGCGGGCCTCGCCATTCGAGATGCTGCAGATCGAGACACACTGTTGGACCACACTGCGGCCACGGTGGCGAGGCGGGAGGCGGCTGCGGCTTGGACAGACAGCGCGCGGGACAGCGCGCCGGCGGCGCTCGTCGGAGCTATTGCAATATGGCCGAGATAAGCGGAGTTGATTTCACCGTTTTTTCACGTTTTCGCGACACCCTCCCTCACGCGCGTCAGGCGTCACCCGGACACCCTCAGCCGCGGGCGCGTGGCGCCAACGTCATTTCCCTAAATCGGATAGCTCGAAAGAAGAAACACACCCACACCGCTGCTATAAGGGACGCTCCCACAGCGATGGCTCGGCGTCGGCGTCGTCTGACCATTCCTGCAGCGGCGTTCTACCACCGCCAGTGCCCTCGCCGCGCCAGTCGGGCTCCGTCCCTTCCAACCCGTCTCCGATCGGGCCCGTCATCTCGAGCGCGCCGTGCGCGTACGACCGCTTCGCCGCCAGGCGGTGTCTGCCGTGCACCGCGGTGGCGATCCACGCCGCGCCGAGCACGAGGACGGCGCCCGCCGCCCAGCCGAGCGCGTCGAGGCTGCTGCCCCGCCGCCGCGCCGGCCGCCTCGTCCGCCACCGTCGCGGCCGTCTTGAAGCTAGCCTCGCTCGTGGCCGCGTCGCTCTCGGGGGTGCCTGCGCGCCGCTCGAGGCGGCTCTCGTCGAAGGGCACGTACAGCGAGCCGTCCTGACCGAGGCCCGCCGCCGCCTACACGCCCCGAGGAGCCGACCGGTGGAAGGCGCGCGGCGGGAGCCGAGCTTGGCGGCGGCGGCCAAGCGCTGCACCCTCGCGTCTGCGGCAGCGCGCGCGTCCGCCGCCGCCGCTCGCGCGCTCGCCACCGCCGGCGCGCCGTTGGCGACGGGCGGGAAGGGCGCGTGCGGGATGAATCCGAGCAGCGAGCCGAGCAGGTCGTCGCCCCCCTCCGGCTCCTGCCTGGCTGCAGAGCCGCCCTCCGGCCTGCCGCCCTCCGGCCTGCCGCCCTCCGGCGTGCCGCCCCCCGGCCTGCCGCGCTCCGGCCTGCCGCCTTGCTGCGCGCCCTTGGAGGCGGGTGGCGGAGGCGCCTGCGGGCCCGCCGCGCCGCCCGGCGAGGCGGCGGCGGCTGGCGGCGGCGGCTGCTCCGTCTCCGGCGCCTCTCCTCTCGCGGCTGCTGCCGAGTCGGGCAGCGAGAAAGCTACGTGCAGGAGCGGCTGCAGCAGCGCGACGAGCAGCTCGGCCTCCTCGGGCCTGGAGAGGAGGGCATCGCGCCCGAAGGCCTCGGGGCACACCTGCCGCGCAGAGAGGCGGCCGCTGCGCTGAGGGGGGTGGGCGTGTGCGCGCTGGGCCGGCGCGAGGGCCGCGCGCCACAGGAAGAAGCGGAAGCCAGAGGTGGGCGCTGCGCCGGTGAAGGGCGAGGCAGAGCCAGAGGCGGGCGACGTAGACTTCGGCGACGGCGGCGGACGTGCGGCGGCGCGAGCTCGAGATGTGCTTGTCGCAGAGAGTGCGCGCGAGCCGCACCGCCTCGGCGGCGCCGAAGAGCGCCTGCCGCTCGAGCGCCGCATCTCCGCCGCCGAGGCCTCGCTCGGCCACGAGCGGCGCGCGCTTCTGTAGCTGGAGGATGGTCGTGTACAGCAGGCACGGCCGGCGGAGCGAGACGAGAGGAGGGACCATGTTGTGCTGGGCGGCCGCCTCGAGCGTCAGCACGAGCTCACGCGCCGGAGAGACCTCGCACGCGAGAGGCGACGCCGCTCCAAAGCCGGAGGCCACCACTCCGTTGACGGCGGTCCGCACGTCCTCCAGCCGCGAGGCGCGCTCGTCGGAAGTGGCGCGCTCTTCGACGCGCATACACAAAACGTTGAGGGCGACGAAAGCCTTTCGGCCGGGCGCGGCGTGAGAGAAGAATTCTACCACGGCAAGCCCCTCTCACAGCATGAGAGAAGTCCTTCCAAGATCCTGCTCGTGCAGGTGGGGACCCTGTCCCTCTCCCACCCCTCGTTTGGCGTGCCCGTTTTATTTATTTATTTATTTAGCATGAGAGAAGAAACCCCCGCGCGCATGCCTCCTTTGCGTTGTTTGTTTCCTTTCTTCTCTTTCTTTCTCTTCTTAGCTCCCCGGCGTGAAGTTGTTGAGACCGCACTCCACTGTGAATTTGTGTGAGCTCTGTGTCCTGATTTGCCAACAAGACAAACAAGTAACAAGATACCTACCAAGCAGGGTGAGGGCTCTTCTGCCCGCAGGCGCAGCCTCCCGATACCAACGTCCGGCCCACGTGTGGGTTTTTAGCCTCCCCGGCCCTGGACAATGTGCGGCTATCGACTGCACTCAAACCGCCAACAAGTTGGTGCTTTCTGACTTTGCTCCAGCTCCACGCACAACACCTCTCTCAACGCATCTCAAGATATCTCGGGCTCGAGCGCCGCGAGGCACGCGGAGAGGCGCTCCACGAAGCGCAGCGCGGAGCCGAGGTCGCGGTTCGGCAGGGCGATGTTCTCGTTGCCCGCCTTGGCCGCAAAGCTGGCGGGCGACGCGCTACCCCAGAACCGGCCAACCATGAAGCGGCCATAGTCGATTGTCGCAAGCTGGTAGTGGCGCAGCGCGAGCGAGCGCGGGTACGGCGCCGCGTCGGCCGCGTCACCCCGCGCCGCGGCGAGCGCGTCGAGGTAAGAGTCGAGGAGCGCCTCCTCGCCGCCGCCGTCGAGGTCGGCGGGCGAGAGCGCGTGCACGAGGTGGAGCGCCACGTCCG